TAATAATTAATTTTTATTAAAAATATAAATAAATTTTAATTTAATTAATTAATCAATTAATATCATCAATTCGTTAATAATATTGAAATATATGTTAATTTTTATAATTTTTAATATGAATTAATTATAAAAAAAATATATTTATTGCATTTTATGAGACAAACTATTTTTTAAAAGATAAAAGCCATCTTAAGAGGTATTAGGTTACTAAAATCATTACATCAAATATTCTTTTCATGCAGCCTCAATTGGCTTGAAAATGGATGGGAAACAGCATTACAGCATGTTATAATAAGAAGAGACAACGCAAAATGAATTTATTTACGTTAGATCTCCACAACAACAGCAAAACAACGATTAATGATAAATTAAACTCAGAAGCAAACTTAGCTAAACAAAGAAGGATAACCTTCTCACACCCAACAAACATAACTAACCTTAACTGACAAACACTCGACCAAGCTAGCTAGCTAGATATAGAGATATCACTCCAACTCTTAAACAACTTAAACTGCCAAAGTCCATCGATTCAAGGGAAGGGAAGCACACCAGTCCCGCCACCAACACCACCTCCGGCACCACCACCAAGACCGCCACCAACACCACCACCAAGTCCACCGCCACCACCAAGTCCACCGCCAACACCAGTGCCACCACCAATACCACCACCAAGACCACCCAACCCTCCAATCCCCCCCATTACTCCACCACCAAGTCCACCTGTGCCACCGAGGCCAGTAACCCCACCAACAGCGCCACCTCCACCGAAGGGAAGGCCGTTAGAGCCAAGGCCAGAGTAACCTCCAACGCCACCATAGGTGACAAAGTTTTTCTGGTCATCAAGACCAGCATCGCTGGGTACGGTTCTTGCAGTGGCATGGGCCAGAGCCAGAGCAAGAAGCAGCAAAACAGCACTCGACCTCGCCATCTTTTGAGACTCCTTCGCTTTCACTCCTGTGTTGCTACTAGCTATCACCCTCTATGAAAGTGTTGCTTGGTGCAGACGTGCTGAGGTCTTGTTTTTAAAGCCCAAAGGACTGGTGGGAGACAGTTGCGATTATTCAATGCAGTTAAATGTATGGTGCAGTGGGTAGAGAGAGAGTAATTAGAGACCTGATCTGGCCTATGGAAGATTAAGGATTTAATCTTTTTCGAAAGAAGGGAATGCTTGGTAGACCTTCTCTAAGCACTCTTTTAGTAAAATTTTTTTTGTATCACTTCCATCCCACAATAATCATTCTAGCTATTTTGTCCAACCAAACTATGGGACAAAGAAAATGTTAATTATCATTGTGATTAATTTATACTTTTTTTCAATTTTACCCTTAATTATTGATAAGAGGGATAAGGAAAATAGATTAATTTATAGTTTTTCCAATTCTACTCTTTATTGCTTCCAGAAATTGGATAAAATATCAAAAGTATGCCCTACTAAAATGATATAGTTACAAACTTACAATTATATGTAGGATTGTAAATTTATAAAGATAATTTAATATTAAACGAGTAAATACATATAATATTATATATAATTCCTCAAATAAAAAGAATTAATCATATAATTCCTCAAATAAAAAGAATTAATCATATAATAACATATTATAATTATAAGGTTATAATAGCATAGGACATTGTAATCATAATATTTTTTACGAACTTTAAATGCAATACGAGAAAGAAAAAGAAAAAATATGCCTTAAAATTATAAAAGAGATGGTTAATTTAGAACAAAAAATTTATTCTCTTTAATTGTTCATTTTTAGTTTGATCTATTTTGATTTTTTGACTTTTAAGAAATGAATTTTAAGTGAAAATTTAATAATCTATATAAACAACAGGGAAACTGAATTGGGAAGGTTGGTCTGATCTTAAGTTGTTCTTGTATGCGCAAATTGATTAGGTTGCGGATGGCAAGTTTTCTACGTTGTTCAACTTTTTTGTGTGAAATTGATGTAAATGGACAAGAGTACCCCTTGTACTCCATAAATAAAATTTCTTTTGCTGTTAAAAAAAAAATCTATATAAACAACAATTTTAAGAAATGAATTTTAAGTGAAAATTTAATAATCTATATAAAAAACAATTGAAAAATTTTTTGTTCTTATATATAATTCTAAGTATTTTTATTTAAATGAATTTAACTGTTGTTCATATAGATTGTTAAATTTTCATCTAAAATTTACGTCTTAAAAATTAAAATATTAAATTAAATTCACTAAAAATAAACAGATGGAGTAGTTAAAATAAAACAATTTTTTTTTGGTTCTATCTATATTGTGATCATCGAAAATTTAATTAAGATTATTTACTACTTCATACTTTTTAATGTTTTTGTCACATTTTTCTTTAAAAGGGGTTCTAATTTATTTATAAATTTTATTTTAAGTATAGTTTTAATTTTCTTTTTCTTAATTTTTCCCTTATTAAAATTTCTTAATTACTTGTCACACTTCACAACTTTCTTTATTAATTGGGTCCTTCAGTAAAAGTTAAGAAGGGTAAATATATATGAAATTTTATGTGTTTTGATGAATTTTTACAAATTTTTCTATAATTGTGTAAAGTAATTAAGAGTGTGTCACGTAAATAAAAATTGAGAGTATATTGATAATCATTTTTTTTCCATATATTTACATATGGAGAAAAATATAGTGCAGGATATTCTCTCAAAATTTTTTTTGGATGATTTGTCTAAAACTCAGTTTTTAATTAATATTTGTAAAAATCAACCATTGGATAAATATTTTATTAATGTAGATTATATATGTTAATTTTTAGTTTAATCTAATATTTATAATTATTTGATAAAAAAATTATATTTATTGATATATATTTAATGATATTAAATTTTGTATAATTAACAAATTACTTAGAGAAAATGCTAGAACCTTAGCTTGACCATGCTTTACGGGGGGAAACCACAAAAATTAGAATACCTAAAAAAATTGTTGAGGTTAGCTTAATTTTTATTTTTATTTTTAACAAACCGTAGAGGTTGGCTTAAATGATAAAAAGTAGAAAGTTGTGATCGATGATACAGACTTTGTTGGAACTATAAAAATTTAAATATCTATATTGTACTTTGGGGTAAACAATTCTACCAGATGCTGATAAAAAAATAATAATAATAAACAACAACAACAACAATTCTACCAAATCCCGTTCACCACCATTGGTGAAAGAGATTTGATGAAAACGTGTATAGTTTGGTTGACCCTTTGATTGTGCAACATATATACAACCACTAGTTAATGGGACTACGCGTTGGCTTGGGAAACACAGAGGAAGCTGCTACTCACCACTCTGCTCTCATAATTTCTTACAGTGGTTACAACAAATCTTTTTTTGACTTTTAGATATATATTGTTATTAATGGTTTCTTTTTTTCCAGTCTATAGTGAAGTAGGCAACTTTTACGGTTCCACTTAAAAGTATTAAGGCTACACAAATTTTTATATAGGATTTTTCTCTAATTTATATTTTTAAGATGTATGTCAAAATTAGTGTAATAAATATATATTTTTTAAAATTAATTTATATAAAAAATAATAAAAAATAATTTTTATTTTGGTGTCAATCTTAAGTAAATAATTTTAAATAGTCAATTAATTAAATTTAAATAAACTTTATCATTTTTTATGTAAATTAATTATAAAAAATTTTACTATATCCTTAACTTGTGCTTTAAGAGCACATAATAGAAAAATCTTTTTATATATTATCTTTTAGAATATTGATTGGATTTAATTTATTGTTAAAAATAATTAATTTAACTATAATTATTAATTGATAAATGATAAAATTGTAGATATTTATCACTTAATATATTAAAATTAGTTTATAAATTAATGTTTTAAATATCATAACTACCTATTTATAAAAAAATAACTATTTTTGTGTGGTTATGACATTTGTAAATGAGACCATAACCACACCGTGAAATATATATATATATATACACACGATGAAATGATTTGCAACCAACAGGGTTAATTTTTAAGCAGAATGAATTATTGAAATGACACCGTTTAAAGTTGTAGCCCTTATCCCCAACCCCAAGGCTGCCTTCCTCGCCATTCATCCATCCCCTATTTCTGAAAATTCACAAATCTTAAAGGCCAAAGCCCCTATTTGCACCCTCTATTTATTTTTTTTTCGCGGTCAACACCTTCTAGAATTTTTCTTCCCTATTCACACCCTTAACTTTTTAAAACCTATAAAAAAACTCAACATTTTAATGTGCCGTCACGGCACCATTACAAAATGCATTACGTGACACTCAAAAATTGACGTGGCCACTATATGCCGTTAGTAATCCAATGTGGATGCCTTTTTTTGATGATGTGGCTTATTTAAGTGTTATATGATATTATTTATCTAATGTGGATGATTTTTTGATGATGTGAGATCATGACATAGGTTCGCTTGGAATCATAGAGGAAGAACGACCAAGAAACACAATGCTGTGGAATAGGTTCACCCCGTCAAAATTAAGCTTTCTTGGTTGGCACTTTTTGTTGGATCGTTTGCCAATAAAAGATAATCTTATGAGTAGAGGTGTTTCCTTGGGCATTTTCTTTTTTGCTTTTTTCTCATCTGTGTATTTGAATTTCGAATTGGGTATTCTAAAAGATTGGTATTTGTTTCTGGGTTTTTAATAAGAGAAAGAAGGGAATGAAGCCTGTCTCTGGGATTTTCGTTTCCAGTAAATTGCATACTTTTTGCTTTTGTCAAGGAACTACCTCCCTGCTCATATTAAGGGTTTGTGAACTTTTGGAAACGGGAGAAAGTCTGTTTCCTGGAGTTTCTTGGATTTTTAAGTTAACTACCGTTATGACTTATAAGTTTTAATTTGCACAGGAAAAAAATTTAAAAGTTATTTTTAAAAATAATAAAAAATGAGTGCAAAAAATTTATAAAAAAAATAAAAATTTAATTTTTAAAAATTTATTGTTTAAGATTTTTTTAAAATTAAAAAGAAAATTAAAAAATATAAATTTTTGAAAGAAAAATTTCAATTTCTAAAATATGAATCCTATCAAAAAGTAAACTGTGGACAAAGGCCTTAAGTTGAAACGGTGTCGTTTCAATAATTTATTCCGTCCTGCCGGCTGCAAACCACCTTACCGTTTCTAACTTTGTGTATATTGCTACAATTCATCGCATTTATTTATAACAAATTTTAATTTTGATACTAAATTCTCACAACCTTACAAAAGAATTCCCCTAGATTTTGAAAGAGAATAGAAAAATAGAGGTTCAAATATCAAAATAGTCCCTTAACTTTGAGAAATGAATTGATTGGTCACCAAACTTTAAAAAATAATTAATGGTCCTTAAACGTTTAATTTGCATTACTCTTTTAGTCCTTCCCGGTAATTGTCATCACTTTCTATTAACAGAACTGATGTGCCATGTCATATTGATGTAAAGTTTGTCTTCTTTGATCGATCGACCTCATTCCAAATCTAGAATATCCTTCATAGCTGGTTGATCAAAAGAAAAAAAAAGGGAATATCCTTCATATAGCTAAATTTCTCTTTGACATGCCTAGTTCTATATCTAGAAGTCTTCCGTTGAAGAGCAATTTCTATGTCCCAAGTACCGTATGAAAAAAATCAAATGAAAATAATTGTGGAAAAAAGAAATAAAAAGAGATGAGAGGTAGAGAGAGAGAGCTCTGGGACGGAGATCACAAGGTAAACGGTCAGCACAGCCATATGAGAGGTCCAGATTCCAGAATAGGGGACAACTCCAACAGGAGGTGGGAGTTTATGACAAGAGAATTTACAATCAGGCAATCCCCTTCTTCTTCACAAACTTTCCAGAGGAATGGTCATTTGAGCAGATGTGGCTCACATTCAGCAGAATAGGTCACGGACGGGTGCTGGAGATAGATTGTCCGACGAAGAGGGACAGGATGGGTAGACGTTTTGGTTTTGTTCGTTTTCTGGATGTGAGGAATGAGGATGAACTAGAAAGAAGATTAAATGAAGTAAGAGTAGGGAACCAGGTTCTTCAAGCAAACAAACCAAGATACTCAAAGTGGGAGCGGCAAACAAATCTGATTCCTAAACCCCATTTTGAGACTGGTAACCGGAGACAACAAAGCATTAATGGTAACGATAGAAGACCATCATATGCCGAGGTTGCAAGAACAGCCATCAGTGGGAGGGAAGAAAGACCTAATATCGAAAGAAGGAAAGAAGGAATAGTACAGAGGTATGGAAGCAACAAGGCCAGCTCCTACGGAAACCAGCAAAGGGAATGGAGACCAAAACACCAACACCATCAATGGACAGGCATGGAGTTGAACTTTGATCCAGAAGAATATGCTTGGCTGGAAAAGTGTTTTGTAGGCACAGTGCATTCGGTGAACCTGATACCAAATTTGCAAGAGAAATTCTTCATGGAAGGGGTATTCTTCTGCAACATAAGACCAATGGGTGGTAGATTAGTGTTATTAGAAGGCAAGGATCATGAAGATTTGAAGGAGCTGGTTGATACTGGAAAAGACTGGCTGGGGAACTGGTTTGAAGAAGTGAAGCCATGGACCCCTACTCTGGTAGCAAAGGAGAGGTTTGCTTGGATCTGATGCCAGGGACTCCCACCGCACGCTTGGAAATTGGAGTCCTTCCAGACATTTGGAAGATTATGGGGAACTTTTATAACTCTTGATGATAGTACCATCAACAAGAAAAGATTTGATGCAACAAGATTCTTAATCACCACTCCATCCACAGAAGCTATTTCCAAGTCTTTCACAGTGAAGATCAATGGAGAATTCTTCACACTCAAGTTCACAGAAGAGGAATCAACAAATAATCTTTTCACAATGAGGTCTGATAGGATCTTTCATGCACCTAGAGAAGAGGAAGATGAAGAAAGCAGCTCTTCAGACAGTCTAAATGAGGATGATTCTGACCTGGACAAGAACATCTGGGAACAAATAGAGCTTCAGACAAGGGGGATTGAAGGCGAAGGGGCTCAAGCATCCATGGAGGAAGATGCGGCAACACCATACACGGGGGATGGAATCGAGAATGAGGTGGCAAGCCATCATGCTGAGGTGGCGAGACACAGTGCTGAGGTGGTAAGGCATAGTGATGAGGTGGCTAGTCACAATGTCAAGGCGGAAGGCAACGAAAGGAAGAAGGTTGAGACGTTTAAGGGGGTCAGTATAGATATCGAGGTAGTTGAGGAAACCGAAGGCATGAAGGAGATCAGGACGGAGATCCTTGATTCAAATTCAAATCTTCAAAGATTGGCAGAAACAAGAAAGATTGTGGCGGATCCAAATATGGTGAACAATAAAGCTGAGCAAGGGATGTTCGAAAATGGCAGTCAATCAAGTACCAACACAGACATGGGCAGCCACGGCAAATTTTATCAAAAAAGTAGAAATAAAACAGTAGAACACAGAAGGGGATGCAGAGAACCAGAAAAGTATGCCAAAGAATTAACAGTTGGGCTACCGACAAAGGATATGGGCCCAGAAGCAGATATTGGGCTGAGAGATCCACAACCAACCAACCCACAAGGGCCAATGAATACAGGCCAATAGGAGCAGAATGAGAAGACCAACAACACAATGAACAGGAAGTCAATCTCTTCTTTCTGGGACGACCTTGAAAGCGATACAGACAGAGACGCAAACTGGATGGGCAGAATTGATGGGTGCGGGAAAAGGAAAAAGAAGAGAAGAGCTAAGTCTTGTGCATCAGTGTATAGAAAATCCGGGGGATTGGAAGGCTTTTTGGTTCAACAAAAACTGAAAGGACAGAAAAAAGCAGCTGCAAAGACAAAGAAGAAGGTACTATTTGAGAAAGATGCAGAGAAGCCAGTTGCAGATGACTCAATCAACGACAGCAACATCCAGAACTGTAATAAAAACATCGAAGTGAACAGCAGAAAACGGAACATGGAAGCCCTGTGGTCTCGGGTGAAGGAGATTGGGGTGACTGCACAAGGAGAGGAGACATCGGTGATTCAGAAACTGATAGAGCTGGAATGTCGTGACAGAGAGAAATGGAAGAAAGAGGAAGATAAGAAACACTGAATAGGAGAACAGGTGATAACCCACTTTCCATGATTTTATTATCTATGAATATAAGAGGATTAGGGGGGATTGGGAAAAAAAGGGAGATTCGGGATTTGGTTGCTAAACAGAAAGTGGATGTTTTGTTTGTTCAAGAAACTAAAATGGAGAAAATAGACAGATGTTTATGTAGAATGGTCTGGGATTCTGATAATTTTGAGTGTGTTGCTCAACCTGCAAATGGAGCATCAGGGGGAATTTTAATCATATGGAATTCCAGTGTTTTTAAGAAGACTGGTTATTTAGAAGGTGCAGGATTCCTGGGAGTAGTGGGGAATTGGGGAGAAGCAAACGCCCCTTGCTATTTGGTAAATGTATACTCTCCATGTGACTTGGCGAGCAAGAGAATATTATGGGAGAATTTATCAAATAAAATCTGTTCCAATAGAGGAAACTGGTGCATAGCTGGAGATTTTAATGCCATTAGAAATCTCCAGGAAAGGAAAGGAGGTATAAGTGTAAGGAGGGAGCTGAAAGAATTTAACGAGTTCATCGAGAAGAGTGGGTTGGTAGACCTCCCTTTGATAGGGAGAAAATTCACTTGGTATCAGCCGAATGGTAAATGCATGAGCCGCTTGGACAGATTTTTATTTTCAGAGGAATGGTTGCTTAACTGGACAGATTTGAAGCAATGGGGGTTAGCGAGGTCACTGTCAGACCATTGCCCAATTTTGGTGAAAGATGAAATATGTAATTGGGGCCCAAAACCTTTCAAATTTTACAATGTGTGGTTGCAAGATCCAGCATTTAGAGAAATGATAAAGAATCAATGGAACAGCTTTAACATCAGAGGGTGGGGAGGTTTTGTGCTCAAAGAAAAAATTAAACTGTTGAAAAATAGTATGAAGGACTGGTCCAGGAATCATGTACAGGTGGTTGACAAACAAATCGAGGAAGCAAAAGCAACTATAGCTAAACTTGATTGTAAAGGGGAAATTCAGCAGCTAAGTGAGGAGGAAGACATTCTCAAGAGGGATCTAATGCTAACTCTATGGGAAAATATTCAAACAAAAGAAGAAATGGCAAGACAAAAATCAAGGATGATGTGGATGAAGGAAGGAGACGCCAATACAAGCTTCTTCCACCGGTGCATCAAAAATAGAAGGAGAAGGAATGAAATTAACTGCTTAGTGGTCAACGGGAAGGTGCTGCAAGATGTTAATGAGCTGAAACAAGGAGTGTCTGAATACTTCAGGCATCTATTTGCAAAGGAAGACTGGAAAAGGCCAGTTTTGGAGGGCATTGAATTTAATAAAATTACTGAAGCAGAAAAGGAGCTTTTAACTGAACCGTTCCTTGAATCAGAGGTCAAAGAAGCTGTATGGAATTGTGACAGTGCTAAAGCCCCGGGTCCGGATGGTCTGAGCTTTGGGTTGTTGAAAATAGAATGGGAAGTGGTCAAGGATGATATATTGAAGTTCCTAGCTGACTTCCATACCAACAGCAAGCTGGTAAGGGGATCTAACGCATCCTTTTTGGTATTGATACCTAAAAAGGAGAACCCGCAGGGACTGGCAGAGTACAGGCCTATTTCTCTAATAGGTTGCATATACAAAATCCTTGCTAAAATCCTGGCCAATAGATTGAGTAAAGTGCTGAGCGGGCTCATAGGCGAACAACAATCAGCATTCATTGGAGGGAGACAATTAGTTGATGGGGTAGTTATCGCAAATGAGACGATAGATGAAATCAGGAAGAAAAAATTGAGCTGTTTCCTCTTCAAGGCCGACTTTGAGAAGGCTTACGACAATGTCAGCTGGGAATTTTTGGATTATATGCTGGATAGGATGAATTTTGGTTTGGTATGGAGGGGGTGGATTCGAGAATGTTTGCAAACAAACTCGGTTTCTGTTTTGCTCAATGGTAGTCCAACAAAAGAGTTTACCATGAGCAGGGGATTAAGACAAGGAGATCCCTTAGCTCCTTTCCTCTTCCTTATTGTTGCAGAAGGGCTCAATGGCATCATCTCATCAGCAGTTGATAAAGCACTTTTCGAAGGGGTCCAAATTGGTAGAGGGGATTTGAGAATTTCCCATTTGCAGTTTGTGGATGACACCCTATTATTGGGGAAAGCAACAGAGGAAAATATATGGACCACAAAATGCATTATGCGGGCCTTCGAATTAGTCTCCGGGTTGAAAATCAATTATGGAAAAAGCTCTTTGATTGGAATCAATGTCGATGATCTATGGGAAAAGGAAATGACATGTCTTTTGAATTGCAAATCAGGATCTCTACCTTGCAAGTATCTGGGTATCCCTTTAGGAGCAGACCCTAGAAGAATAGCCACATGGAAGCCACTTATCGACACCTTCAAAAGAAAATTGTCTTCATGGAAAGGGCGGTTCCTATCCTTTGGAGGAAGAATAACTCTCATTAATGCGGTGCTGACCAGTTTACTGGTGTTCATTATGTCCTTCTATCTACTCCCAAAGAGCGTCATAGGTGAGTTAGACAAAATTAGGAGAAAATTTTTATGGGGGGGAGTTGGGGAGAGGAAAAAAGTAGCGTGGGTAGCATGGGAGCATGTATGTAAACATAAACTGGAAGGGGGTTTGGGTATCAAAAATCTGTCTTGGTTCAACATGTCATTATTAGGAAAATGGTGGGGAAGATTGCTCACAGAAAAAGGGGGTTTATGGAGAAGAGTCTTATGTGAAAAATACGGGAATAAAGAAGGGAATTGGCTATCCTATCTAAAGGAGGGTAGACATCGAGGTTCAAGTTGGTGGAAGGACGTTTGTAAGTTAGATGAAGGGGTGGGGGCTAAGAATAATTGGCTGAGCTCAGGTTTTGAAGTGAAAATAGGGGATGGCAGAGATACAAAATTCTGGTTGGATGAATGGGTAGGAGGGAGTGCGTTATCTAACAAATATCCATGCTTGTTTCTGTTATCCACAGGTGAAAATCATAATGTCAAAGACATGGGAAATTGGACAAATGGAAGATGGCAATGGAAATTAGTATGGAAACGCCAACTACGTTCGTGGGAGGAAGACTTGGAAACAGATCTTCTGGAGATGCTCAGGACAACTCACCCAATTCAGGACAAAGAAGACAACTGGTGGTGGAAACCGGACCCCTCCGGAATCTACACATCTAAGTCGGCTTATTCCCATCTTTTAAAGGACGACACCAACATTATGGTTGACTTCAAAAGGCTGTGGAAGGCCCCCATTCCATCTAAAGTAAGTGCTTTCTACTGGCAATTACTTCATAAGAAACTCCCTACGAAAGACAACTTAGCAACCCATGGAATCTTGAATGATCACAACAACCTAAGATGTTGCTGGTGTAATTCATCAACTGAAACACCCGACCACTTGCTTATTAATTGTAACCTAGCTTCTACCCTATGGATGAAATGCTACCACTAGTGGGGCAAACAATATGTCTTAGGTAATTCATGTATGAAGGTTCTGGAACAACACAAGTGGTACGGGGGCCCAAAATCACTAGATAAAGGGTGGAACATCATTTGGTTTGCAGTAGTATGGACACTCTGGTTGGGAAGGAATGACAGGATTTTCAATGCCAAGGAAGCAAAGTCTGATTATTTTTCCCAGCTAGTTCAAACTCGATCTTTTTACTGGGCAAACTATAGTGCAGGTCTGGATGGATTCTCCTTAACAAATTGGTGCGAGAATCCAACCAAATGCTTAATGTCCAAAGCCAAAGAAAAAGACAGAGTATGAACTGGATTTCTGGAAATTTACGTTTGTAAGGCCCTTGTACAGAAGTCGGTGAAAAAGATTCTGAGTAATCGGCTGTTTTTGTAAGTTAAGGGTTGGAATACCCCCTGTATTCCATAAGCAATAAATTCTTTTGCCTTTCAAAAAAAAAAAAAGTACCGTATGAAAAAGAGGAAGGAGGTCGTTGGAACCCATGGTTTTTTGTAACTTTGTTAAATGATAATCTCCCTACTTTGTAGTAGCATCATGGGTATGAGTGTAGTGTTAAATTTTTGGGTATCTGATTTTTTTTTCTACCTATGAGGCTTTGACAATTAGAAAGAGATAGATCATGTAAGGTGAATAAAACGAAGAAGGGAGGGTGAAAGGTAAGAAGGAAGAAGGACAGTGGAGGGCAGGGGAGAAGGAGACACCTTTTTGAAGAAGGAAATGTTGGTTTAGGTTTCGTTGGACAACATTTCTCAATGTTTTAACTTTTGGTTTTTAATTTTTTTATTATTTTAAAATGTAAAAAATATTAATTAAAATATATATTAAATATATTAAATATATTTTATATATTTTAAAAATATTAAAAGATCAAAAATCAATAATTGCAACTATAAGTCAGTACTCCCAAACTAAGCCTTAATGAGGAGGTAGGGGTTATATTTGTAAATTCTCATTAAAAAGCCCCCTCTCCATATCATTTTATTCAATTAATATTTTATTTTAAAAATTGCTACATTAACTTATTTAATACCATATAATACTTAAAAATATAAGAACTAAACATAAAGCATCATATCAGCTCAAATTAGTTCAATCTCAAAGTTTAGGAACTATTTTATTTTAACCATAAAGAAATTAAAGATTGACATTTTTTATTTTGCACCTTCAATATTTATTTTTATGGGGTTAAATGTACATCTCTCAAACCATATGGGTGTACTGTGGACATGGACTAAATGCACCTTTTTGTCATAAATATGGTTAAGTTTACCCACCTATTTTGAGAGGGAAGGGGGTTTAAGTGTAAGTTATCCATTTATTTTTTAAATTACAATAAGCCATCGTGCATTCTCTCTTTTGAGTAGCATCATGCATAAGCCCATCATGCACGACCAATTCAAAAATGGTTGTCAGCTCAAATATTTCAAAGAAAATTGTTGGTACCCATATTATATATCGAGGGCCGGCCTAAAAGCCATTTCCATCTCATGCATGCGAGCCAGTACATTATAACATTGCATGAAAATAGAGCCTCACGCACTAATTAACTCCATTGCCAAAAACGAAAGAAAAAAAAAAAAAAGAAAAGAAGAAACATTACAACGTTGATAACCTTAATAAAGGTCTTATTTAGGATACTGATCGACGACAAATAGTCAACACAGAAGATCCGAAACAACTAAAACATGAGGATAAATAAGCCTTAGACACCTAATTAACTGAAACAATTCCAGTTACAGAAAACGGCTCCAAATAGGAAGAAGATATCTAATCAATCATGGGTTAAGCAGAGAACTACTGCTCTCGTCACCACAAACATCACATCCACCACCAGAGCCCCCGACCGCACCAATACCACCTAGGCTTCCCAAAGCACCACCCAACCCACCAACTCCTACGCCTAACCCGCCAGCACCACCAAGTCCTGGGATTCCACCTATGGCACCAACTCCACCCCCAATACCACCGCCAATGCCACCTCCTCCAGCTCCGCCAATGCCACCAATACCACCAAACGCAACCAAATTCTTTTGGTCATCAAGGCCAGCCTCACTAGGCACATTTCTAGCAGCTGCAACAGCAAGAACAACTGCTAGAGCAAACAGCTGAAATATGCCATTCAACTTCGCCATTGCTCTTCTCCAGCCTCCTCACTCTTTACTACTCAAGGAGAAGTTTTTGCAGTTTTTCTTGGTGCTCTTTGGTCTTGGATTCTTGATCTTTTTATAGGGGTCGAAGGCAGTTGCCAGTGTTAAATGAAATGAATGTGAGTCCATACCACTCTACCGCACTACATTAAAATTGTTCCCGATGCCATAGGGAATTTCTAGGCAACTTGTTAACACTGCAAGGAGGATTAAAGAAAAGTGGAAAATTGAAGTTTTAGTCCTAAGTCTTTAGGATTACTAGCAAAGTTTTTCTCAACCTTTAAAACCAAGCAAGTGGGTCCTTGATCAATTATTTTAACTCAGATCTGATTTTTTTTTTTTTTTATAGAATCATTGATTTAATTAATCCGAATTAAAACGTGGACTTTTTGGGACGAGGAAATTAACTTGCATGCAATAAGCTGGTTAGATGAGTTAAATATTTTAAGTTTGAAGGAGTGCGGAGAGATTTAATTAAGAAATATGAGGAATTATCTTCTATCATAAACTCACTCATAAGATGTATAAAAAAAATAGGAAAGTGCTAGGGGAAGGACCCCATCCCCTAGGCAGATGGAGGCTGGCCTCCGTGGCACCAATAGATTTTCTTCTTTTTCAAAATTAAATTTATTATTTAGTCCCTATTTTTAATAATTTAAATTCATTTTTGTCGTCTTATTATTATTATTATTTTTGATAGGAAATGGAGAAATTATATTAAATAATAAAAAAATACAAAAGAATCTCCATAGCAAGCATATAGCCTAAAGCATTATTACCTAAAGATAAAATCAGAAGCATAATGTATAGCACAAGTAACAGATTTAAATTATACCCATGACAAATATAAAAAATTAAGTAAAGAGAGCATCTGCAACTAGAGATTGCAGTTGCAATCGCTGTATGGGTTAAATAGGGCTACTAAAGCAGAAAGGAGAGTCACTGTGAGCATCAAAAGCTACTAAACATCTTCACTTATTTAACTAGCTTCATGGGGAGAGCAAAGGACTTTGGCAATAAACAATCCCCAACTTGCAGGTTGCCACCCTATCTATTCTTGAAAATTAACCAAGAGGAAGAGGGGTATAGACCCCCACAGTGCAAGCATGTTCCCCATCTTTTCCAATCCTCTTCAAACCCTGTCTGCCGAAACTATTGAAGGGAACTAGAACCCCTTTACCACCTCAAATGCTAATTTCCTCGTGCAAATCACAATCAGTTACAGTAATACCATCCTTTTCCTTTTTGCCAATCCTCTGTACAAACAAAAAGCACCCCAATCATTACCGAGTGCTTCCAATCATATTCCCAGTGTTGCTAATCCTCTGTAAACCCTTGTTGGCGAAGCTCATCAAGGGAACTAGAGCCTCTTTGCCGATGTGAATAGCATATTGATAATGCAAACCATAAATGAAGTCACCAACAGCATCCTTGTCCTTCTGTATTCGATTACCGAATCGAAAATTGGAGTGCACTAGGTTCTTTGATGTCGATCAAAAGATGCCGCTGCCTTGCTAGAATTGGAGTGCACGGGGTTCTCTGAATGTAACCCCCGCCAAGATCCCATCCGAAATTGAAGATATGCTGAAGTGAGAGTTTAACCCGGTGAATAAGAGAAACCCAACCCATCGGCAAAATCAATTCCCTCGTTATTCAATCACAACCTTCACAAATCGACAATAGATATAGATTGAAAGATGCCACTGCCTTGTGGTCCCTTAGGCTGAAGTTTCCAAAGCAAGACAGTTGACAAAGAAGGAAGGGATCAAGAGGAGCAAGGTAAGGCTAAGAAGACAGTAAAGAAAGAAGAAACTCCTCACCGAAGAGAAATCCTAGGGAGAAACTCGTCGCTGTTGTCTTTAACCCTAGGCAGAACACAAGAGAGGATATCCTATTTGATAGATTTTTAAATTTAAGCTCATGTTGCTAGAATTTTAAACTTTTAGTGTTCAGTATTTAGGATACCATATTTTTCATCGTAGTTTTTTAAGTTAAAATCAATTTAAGCTCAGGTTGCTAGAATTTAAAACTTTTAGTGTTTAGTATTTAGGATAAAAGGATTTAGATTTTTTAAAATTTAATGTTTAGATTGTTTAAGGATTTTGTATTTAAGGTGTTAGGGTTTCAATTTTTTAAGATTTAGTGTTTGATTTGTTTGGGTTTAAATTTTTTAAGTTCAAGATTTAATATTTAAAAGATTTAAGAGTTTAATAATTTAAAATTAAAAATTACAAGATTTACAAATAAAACAAAAAAAAAATCAAATTTAAAAAGTAAAAATAAAAAAATAATAAGGACCAATCGGCCTGGGATCGATGATCGGTCCCTAATCCCTGTAGCATTTCTCCAAAAAAAAATTTCAAATCATTAATAGTAAAGATTAATTGAGGACCAGTTTTCAAGAAACAACAAAGAACGAGAACTAAAATGATACTTACCCAAGAAGAAATAATTACGTACTGCACAGAGAGATTGAGAGTACATGTCCATTTATTTTTCTCGTCTACTTTTTCGACTGTTTGTACATGTCTCTGTGTTGATCATCCATTTTATCTGTTTGCATTGAATCGAAGAGAAACATAAAATAAAAGCTAACAGTAATAACTTATGAAAGCGGCAAAGCACGCAAAGAGGGTGAGAGAGATGCTTTGTATTTATAAGTGCATGATATATAGTTCAACCACTGGGTACAACTGGCTATTTGTGGAATGATTAAGACTATTTTTTTTTTTTTTTGTGGTGTTGAAAAAGTCTTATCAAAAATTTTTTTTTTAACATTTTGATTCGCACATAAAAGGCAACATTTTCTTGTTCCTTTATTTCTCCTTTAATTACCTTATTTGCATCATATATGATTTGATTTGAATTTAAAACGTTTTTTTTTATTAGAAAGTGATAGAACGGTTGAACACTTGAGTCCCTTGGGTATTATCAATTTTCTTGTTTAAATAATTTTATTTATATGAGTTTAATTATTTTTTTAATTTGTGATTTACATAATTTAGTGACAATTTTTTTTAATAAAAGTAAAATGTAATAAGTTTGAGTTACATAATATACATATAAAATAAGTTAACTGGTGAAATGGGGTGATTTTCTATTTTGCAATCCAAGATATTAAAAAAAAAAAAGGTATTACTTATAAGAGTAGGAAGTTATGGAGCAGCAAAAGGTAAGCAAATAAAAACATTATCGCCCCGCGTGTTTAACAATCTGCTCATACTTAAAGACACAATTAAACATAGTAAAATTGGATCCAATTTGAAGTTATGCCCCAGTTAATCTGTTATGGGTTAAGTTATAAGTCTAAGATATTAATTGAAAATTTGACATAATCTAAATTAAAATTTCTCGGATTGATTTGGTTGGGTCAAGGTCGGTCAAGTCATCTCGAAGTGATTCAACTAAAATTAAATAATTTTTTTAA